ATAGGCTGCTCCAGTGAACTTTCGCAGTGTTTTATCTAGCTCATCTGGCCTCAAATCTCTCTGCAAACATTCTATGGGCGGTCCAGTGATGCAGCCCCAAGGTCCAGCCATAAAGGCACCACATGAAGCCCTGTGATCAAAGAGAAAGCTCTAACCAACTTGTTAAGGTCCTGGCTTCGCTCCAGCACACTCCTATGTCAAAACGCCTGATGTTGTTGTGAAGGAGTTAACATTCATTTCTATGTGCAGTTGAGTATCTCTGTGTGAACATGCATGTGTATAAGATCAAAGACTTCTTAGAAATGTCATCACAGCACAGGCTAGGAGCATCTACTGGTCACAGAGGTGAAGTGAAGCCAGAGCAAGACAGCAGAGTGTGTTTGGTTTTGTACCATACTTGGTGCAATAAGTCAGATATGACAAAGTCTTGTCTTATGGCAACAAGTTATTATGCACTTCTAGTAACTATGCTTGAAGGCTTCATCTCTTCTGGTAGTAATGCAGAGCTAACAGAGCTGTCAGACAATGTTCAATAATGTTGATAATGAGCAGTTATCAAACATAATCTGAAATTCATCTGTAATAAATGACAATGGACAGCTAGAAAAATAGAAAGGAAATGATGCATCATGACATCATGATACAGAAAATGTTTACCATAATCAACACACAGGAATCAGGACAATCAGATTTAACTCGAAAGAAGACTAAGATCCCGACTGTGACAGCAAACTGCAAAGCAAAGTGGACATAATGAACCAACAAAAAGTAAATGCAGATACTACTGTTTTAGGCCTCATGGACAGAAGTGTGTTTATTGCTACAGGGAATTTAATAATATTATTGTTCTGCTTTGCTGACATACAACTGATGTCCAAGATTTCACCCTGAAGCCAAACAACAATGTAAGCCAAACCAGTCCTGTTTTCTTGGAGCCACATGTAATTCTGAAACAAGAAGCACTGCTACAAGTGGCAGCTGTCCAGTCCTTGTTGTTCCACTGATAGTAAGATAAGACAAAAAGCCATGTGTTCAACAAACAACCAATTCAAAGACTCACCCACACTGAAAAGACAGCTCAAACTGAGTGCTGCGGTTACAAGGTCAATTGCATATTATTTATAACATGCCTGTGAAAGGAGTGACTGATTCCAAACAGAAAAGAAACTTCACAACTGCAAGTAAGGGTATTTTTAATACAAGTCATAATAATTGATATCTGGTATTTCTTGTACTCTGTCAGATCTTATGACAGTATTACAGCATATGATCCTAGAATTAGAGCACCAGTGATGGGCTGGTGTTTCATCCTGGCACACTGCTCAGCTTGAGAGTGAAGCACCTGTGGCTGTCTATACAACACAGCTCCTCGTTCTGTAGGCTTCCTTTAGCCGTGACATACCACAGATTACATAACTCTGCCACTGTATGGTCCTCAGGCCTCAACTATCTGCTACTGTAGCCATGAGACTGTCAGGGACCCCCATCCCCCCACCCTTTAGTATATACACAGTACTTTCACATAGTTACACACAAGCTGAACACTAAGTCACACACACACCAGCCTTGTATCTCAAATACGCTGGGAGGTGAAGCCTGGTTTCACACTCATGGTTTGGCTATACAGTACACACACAGTAACACACACACACAAACAACTCAGAACAATGCTTGGCTGGCTTAAAGAAATGGCACATGACTAAGTGAACTATGCAACAGTGCTGGCCTTCACTACTGTGCTCCCACATGTGATACAAAACAGCAGCTTAGTCAGGAGACTGAAAGTAGAGCAGACAGCCAAAAACTTTTAATAGGCTGTCTATGGCAGGATAGAAACTTGGGTGATTGTGATGATGGTAGAAGTCGCCCTTAACTGTGCAACCTTATTTTAGAACATTATGTCTCCAAATCTAGTCACACATACACAATATTGTACTTCGAAGTATAAAGGGATGCTAAAATGTTCCTTCTTTAAAAATGCCTTTTTTCAACACAAGGATGAAACAGCCCGATGTTTCTGCTCATAATAAGAAAAGATGGCGTGGTGATGGTAAATGGCAATTTGTTTTCTCAAACCAATGCAAAACACAGACAGCCATGACACCCACTTACATTCCCCAGCAAAACAGAAGACACACCTATTCAGCTGGGTTATAAAAAAAAGTAAATGAAGTAAGAATGCAACAGCCCACAATCCCTTTAGTCAAACAGTCCAACATTAGGCCTCTCCATCTTCACAGCAAGATTGGAGTCACTGACTGTAACAAACTTCTCTTGTTCCAACCAGATGATGCAGAGATCCGGGGTAGAAATCCTCCACTGATAGCAACTTCATGGCAGCTTAAAGTGGCTACTCTTCAATGTATCACTAGAGATTTAAGAATGCCCTGCCTCAGTCATTCAGTGTATCTGTTCCAGTTACACTGACTGACACACACCCCCACACACACACACACACACACACACACACACACACACACACACACACACACACACACACACACACACACACACACACACACACACACACACACACACACACACACACACACACACACACACACACACACACACACACACACACACACACACACACACACACACATCTCATCTTAAATGCACAAGCAACAGCACAAAACACAATGATAGGGAGAAGTGTAAAAATATTTTTGGTTCTTATGAAACTATCGCAGGGGATATCAGACCACGGCGGCGCACCATAGTATAGGTTATTAATGGGAAACAGTGTCCAACAACCAGCGATTGCTGATATTTTCGCCCCTTCGTAGTTTAGTTTGGAGAAAAGTGGTAAGCTCCCTATGGGCCACAAGCTCTCTTGGCTTTTAATAAACAAAATAAACTCCCTATAAATGCATCACTGCTAACTGCAGTGCAAATGCAAACCTGTCACACCCACATTATTATTCAGCCAAATAATCACAAACTCACTACAGGGGTTTTATTAAATCTACAATGGGAGGAAAAAGATCAAACAAACTATTTAAATATTTACAAGCTCAAACAAACTATTTACATATAAGCTGTAAGAACACCATAATCCAGAGATTTGGAGAGAAAGAGTGAAAGAGAAGCTCCGAGCTCCAACGAACTATAGAGATTATGTGAGAATAGGTCAAATGTGCTCCAAATGCTAAGTTACTAAGGGGGTCTGAAAAGTCGCTAAATCTAGTGAGAAAGTCACCAAGTGGGCAACACTGGCCTCTCGCTCCCAACATTTCTCTACTGTCCCAGAATTGACCCACGCACGGTATCTCCCAGGTGCTATTTTTATTGTCCCCGGGACAACGGGACATCCTGCTTCCCAATCATTTTAATGACTGATTAATCAATTAAATCATTTATCAAGTGAAAGGGCCAAACAATTGCAAAGATTTCAACTTCTCAAATGGAACAATTTACTGCTTTTCTGTTTCATATCACAGTAAATCAAACAAGATCTCTGGACTGTTGGCTGGACACAACAAGTAACTTAAAAACAACAACGTGGGCCCTGGTATATTATGATGTGAATTTTTTTTTTTCCAACACTTTAATTGATAATAAACAGAGCTGGTCCCCCATGGACATGGTGTCTTGGCTGAAAGACATCAGTCGGGGGTCTGCTTGCTAACCCAGGGGCATACATGGTTCCCCTGTGTTCACACATGGATGCTCTGCAGAAAAACAACACTCAAATCACTTTGCCTCTACAGTCCTAATGATGGCTGTGGTAGTGTTGATATGTGATAATGGGAAAAATGCATTATTTGCTCCTGTGTACTGTTCCATGTGTTCTTGTTCATGGCAATGGTAAAAAGAGTAAAGCAAGATTATCATTGTCAAGATTACAAAGACACAAACAAATAAAGATGGAATCAAAGAATATAAAGAGGGCAGGACTCAAAGGCAAGAAAACCTTCTTGCCGATCCACCAATTTTCACAGCCACATTTGGGATTCTGACCAACAGCTTTCCACTCAAGACAAATCTCCATTTATAGTCATGTATTCTGTTCTAATCATTACTAAAATGTTTCAAAGAGGCTACAAGATAATATAATTTATGCATTTCAATTACACCATGCAGCCTTAGCAGTTAGTACATTCAGTGACATTAATAGATTTTGGAGCAGCAGAGCTCAAACGGGGCACAGAGGTGAGGGCTGCTGCTGGGGACATGATCAGACTAGCATTACAACAAGTGAATATCAACAGATACTCATTTCCACATCAAAAGAGAAATGACTCATCAGAACCCTTTCAGATGAACAGTGTCCGTTTTCAGAAACCTGTGGTTAATTTGTGACTTGTGCTGGCCTTTATGTGTTTATGCCTAAGAGTGTAAACACTGTAGCTAGAAAACTGGAAGGCAACCTTAAATGTGAATCACACACAAAGAGACTGTATTGGCCTTTGTGCTGTACTGACTCTAAATCCCTCAGTCACCATTAAGTAACTCTGAACTTTTAGTGATGTGATCTGCTGCTGCCAAAGAAGAGTTTAATACACATTAAAATGGTGGGATTAAGAGATGTCACTGATCTTCATAAGCACTTCTGCTGGCATTGAAATGAATAGGCTCTAGCTATTCTCTTCATGAATAATATGCATGGCTAATTGAATTAACAAGCAATATCTCAGCTGATGTTCAAACAGGGGAAAAAACAAAATAATTTAAACCTCAATATCGGCTGAGACAATTATTCAATTTAAATTTATTCAGCTTAAATCTAATATATTTTTAAAGGATTGACCTAAAGCCCAGCAGTAAATTGAGTTAGCGTGTCATCCTATTGGCAGAAGAAAACGTAAACATGCTCATCAGTGTGAACATTAGTGAGAGAATTAGTGGAGACGTATTGAAATGTGACTTTAGTTTGCAACAGCACAACCAACACATACACACACATAGACAAACATAGAAAAGCCATTTCAACCCAAACAAATCTAGCAGAGAAGAGAAGAGAACTGAAGAGAAGAGAAGAGAATTTGTCCTCTGACCTGAGAGGCAGATGAAGGTCATGTAATCTCCCTGACCACCAGTGGCCAGGAAGGGGATCTTCTTCTTGGTCCTCCGCCTTACTTGCACAGCAGCAAGCATCTTCTCATCGTGGGGTATGAAGACCTCCTTGTTGATGGCTGATTTGGCACTCATCTCTGAAGTAGGCAGGGGTGAACAGCTGGCGAACAGTTAAAGTGGAGAGGACAAGATCCACTCTTCACTGAAGAGGAGAAAAAGGTAAGGAAAAAATTTTATTAGCAAAGAAGATGGACTAAGCTAAAAAAAAGTCTCACTTTCCAAAAGTCTCCTAAATTACAAAAAACACAAACAACAAAATAACATTTTAACTTGCCTCTACTGTTATCTGACCATCCAGACTGCGTTTTATCTGTCTATGTTTTGACATAAACAACTTTTGTTTCCTTTGGCTATTTTTGTGCCTTAATATGAAGGGCCCTATTTTTGTGTCAGCGCAACTACCAGCACAAGCAGCAGTCAGACCACTATTTTTCTGACCTTGAAATTCTCTTTGGCCATCTATGTGGTACTTTGGTGCCCAGAGCAGTGCACAGGTAGGATGAGAGGCACAAACAGGTGGGAGGTTCATTCAAATTATGCAGCGCAGAGCCCGTTGTTGGTATTTTGTATTTGAGAAAAGTATGAAAAATACAATTTTCAGTAGCAGAAAATGTTTTTTCTTGATTCATTTTTGGGGTATTTCTGCTCTCAGATTGGGAACCACTACACTACAGGCAAGTGATTGGTAATGTGGGTGAATTAACTCTTGATAAACACAGTGGCATGAAGTGAGCCGGAGAAACCATTCTGTTAAAGAACAGTTAACAGTCGTGTGTTCACAGCCTCGGCCTCGGGCAAATCACTTCCCTCAGTCTCCAAAATACACACACACAAAATCTGAATTTGTACACTCTCACAGTGTATAGCACATTAAAGAAATGACAGAGTCAGAATGGTTGCGTCTCTGTGTGTTGAAGGCAGTCTCCACACTCTATCTCTAAATGCTTTGCCAATGTTCTCCTTGGAAGCAGTGCCATTCACAGAGATGATATGACTTCAGCTAAAGCTGTTAAGAGTAGTGGTAAGTCTCACTGATACAGAGCAGCAATCATGTTTCTGTTATTACAAACCAATGTCTACAAGTGAATTTATTTCTTGGTGACTGGGAATATACCACAAGATACATGCCTGAAGGTGTCAGGGAAAACTGTGCTTAGTTGGCCTAACTGGGCTTAAATGCAGAAGAGAGTCATAAAGAATTGGGTTAATTAGGTCCAAATGGTCTAATGAGGACTATGGAGCTTAATCATTTCCTCAACCACACACATTCACTTGAAATATGCAAAAGCATTCACAACCACATACCACACACCACACAGGCCACCCTGATGAACCTATCCATCTGTCAGTCTCAACCAGTCGATGAATTAGTCAAAGCAAGCCAGACTGCAAAACAATGCCTTCATCAAACTGGCTTGCTAATAAACAACAGACCACCAAGTTGTTTTCAGACAGTGCAGCAGGCTTTAAAATGAGTGCTCTGCAGCTGAGTAGAAGCAAGTGGAGACGGGACGTTTCATTCACTGATTATTTTAAAAGCAAAAGCTGCAGGAGTACAAGGTTTACATGGGCAGTAAAAAAAGTGCACAAGCAGACTTCTCCACCCCCAAACTTAGTGACTGAAAGGCAGCCATTGTTGACTGGTGGTCATTGTTAAAAGTAGGATTACGTCAGGCCAGAAGGAACACTCACCAGCAGTGGAACATAAAAGCTTTTGGAGACAATAACATGGCTACAGTATAATGCACTCTAATAAATACCCCTGCTCTAAGTACTTTTATGAAGCTATTATTGTTACATTTTTGTTTAGTGTGTCAGCTTTATGGTAATTTCTGAGACGGCATTTAGTGGTGGTTTCATACTGAATTGCATTACAGCCAAAGATAATGTGTGTAATGTGCACAGGGGGTTGACAAAAGGTGTTAAATTATCACCTCTGACACAGTCACTCGCAAAACTTTTACATTATAAAAGGTAGAAAAGTATGGTTTCTGTATTCCATTATGTTGTACAGATTTTCAAGCTAACGCCTATAAAAAAAAAAAGGCCCAGATAGACATATGGAAGGTTCACTGGAATTAGAGTGACATTTACAAACTTCGTTTTGGGCACTTGTTTCTGTTTTCGCCAGTTAATGATCGTATTGAATATCCTCTGTTTCTATCCATCTCCCTTCCTCTCTGCTCTCTCAGCAATGCAAGACTTTACAGTAAACAAAAACCCGGGCCAAGATTTTGTGGAGAGTAATTAAAGAGGCTAATAAATATGCCTTTGTTGGATGAGATGTCCAACATCCCAACACTTGGCAACAAAATAGATTTAAACTTCGCTATAAAAATATGACACCCTTGGTCAAAAGGCACAACGTTGTTTTGCCCTCAACCCTCTCTCAAAGACAGGAAAGCTTGTTTAATCAGAGCCTTTTAAGCGAGCCAGGCATTTACTCATACTGTAAACTCAAACTGAGCTTTGATGAAGACTGCAAGACCTGTACTGTCCTAGTCAAATCTCAAAGTGCACAAATAGAGCACCACTAAAAAGTGTTCAAAAGTGCTGACATCATGTCCTCTGAATATATTTCAATATTCTATGGTCAGCTCTGAATCTATTTAGCATTTAAATCTACACCAAGGATGGTAGTTAAAACTCTCTAACAGAGCTTCCAGTGCTTTTACACATTTTGACAATACAGACTGTTTACACACACACACACACACACACACACACACACACACACACACACACACACACACACACACACACACACACAGTAATTGCCCCAAATGAGCTCACCCATTCGCCATAGTATCTAACCTTTTTGTGTGTCCTATCCTTCTCAATTACTGGATGGTACAACGAAGAAAACAAACGTAAAATGAAAGTCAAGGTTAATTGTTGAAAAATGTCACTGGTTGTTTTCTAGTAGCAAATCAGCCCAGCGGAGTTCCTCTCTGTGGAAGCCCTAATCCGTAGCATCTCTCACTCTTCTCCGACTTCCTCCAGCTGCGAAGGCTGCCCACGTCTCCCTGCAAGCTGTCACCAGGCAGAGGGGAGCCCATATCCCCCCTCAGGTGGCCCACTGAAGCATGACGAGAAGGAGGGATAAGGGGATGGGGGATGTGAGGAAGAAAACAAGGAGGAGGAAGAGGAGGAGGAGGCAGACAGGAGCCTCTAGGCAGTGAAATGTAGCCAGCTACAATGCAAAGCTTATGGCTTGACTTTGAGCAGTATTATGCAATGTTCACAGCCAAGGAACTGCTGTGGCAGTGAAAACGAGGTACATATATTTTACTTGTGTTTATCACCCCATTTCCAAGCAGAGGCCCTTTCAAAAACACTTCATTAACTGTGGCTGTGTATTGCCAAGCAGTTGAAGGAGCAGCACTGTTCCTGGTCATTCCCTTGGTCCCAGCGTGTTAATGTGAAATCCGTTCCGTCCGTGCTCACCGCCCTCCTGGGACCTCGTTGGAGTGCGGCCTTTGAGTCAGCTGCAAAGCCATTTATTTTAGCTTCGACACAGTGCTGCTCTCCAGGTGAATGATATGGGCCTTATCACACTGAACTGAACATGTCCTTAATTTCCTTTTTGGTAAGACAAAAACTAAAGCCAGACCTTCAGTTGGCACAGACTAAAAAATCCATCTAGAGAGGAATTTCCAAGTATATTTACTCTGCTGCTCGTGTAATTAAAATGTTGGCAGCTGGTGTGAGAACTACTTAGATAGTGAGCCATAGGATCTTGATTACATTGATATTAAGTAGTGAGCTACAGTATTGATTTGGATTAGTGAGCTAAGGCAGACTGAAGGAGTGCTGAAACCTACTGTGACAGTAACGTAGGTTTTGTATATTGTGTGTGTGTGTGTGTGTGTGTGTGTGTGTGTGTGTGTGTGTGTGTGTGTCCTATCTTAGTTTTAGACCATGAGAGCAACAACAGAATTAGGTTTAAGTTAAGGTGAGGGCAGGTGTTAGGCATGTATGTGCATGCATGCATGAATCAGAAAGAGTGATAAGCATGAGAAAACACATTTTTGTGCTATATCATATCTTAACACCCACCACTGGATGTGAATTATATCTTATCGGTAACTTTATAGCCTATATCTGAGATTTTTCCTTTTGGATTCTGACAGCTTTAACTATGGGAAAGCTTCAAAATACCTTTTCTGCGCAGAGCCTGCATTGCAGAACCCAGTGGAAAGTATTTATTGAAATAACAGAAAGAGCAGTTTGCTTTTGGGACCAATCTACCACTAATATTATAAAAAGACATTCAGCTGGTACAGTAGACTTCTGAAGCACCATGTATCGTATTTGAGAGATTCTTAGTGATAAACTTAAAATACACACGTTCAGCAAACACATACAGGTGCACTGTACAGGTGTGTCAACAAGCATTTTTGCTTGTGGTAAGACGGCAAAAAGACAAGAAATTACAGGCCGTCTATCAACAGCAGAGAACAACAGGGAAGGCAATGTGGGAGATATCACTTGCAGTTGGGGTGTAGACTAAACCTTAGCTGAATCAGTGTGGTGTACAAAAGAAATGCACTGCAAATTTGGAACATAATGATATCTGGCAAGGTAACGAACTCAAACAGATAATATAATCCTCGTCTAGAGGAAAGTCATTGCCTGCATCTACTCCTCCCACTCACGTTTGACTGACTTTGGAAACTTTCAAAGACAAAGTCGTTCCTTTCATTCCACACTGCACTCTAAAAAGATGTATGAAAGAAATAAAACACTACGCCTCATCTGCAGCCTCTTGTGCATGTCTTTCATGTTGGTTCATGGCCCTGTGCAAGGCCTTGATTTTACAGAAAAACCTCCCACAGGGCACACATCTTCACAGATTACATCTTTAGAGAGTGATGTCACACGACAGTGTCACTTTGAACGAGCGGTATCCAACATTGCCCCGTGAACAGATGGTGAATGTTACCTCTCAGAAAATAAGAGATTACGCTGTCGACCCTGCTGTTTTTGTGGTGTCAGCCCGTGATGTGTTCAAATCAAATACTACATTAGTGCATCATCGAGCTACAAAGACAAAACTCAGTCTTGACATGCACAGTAAAAACGTTTCAGTTACAAATATTATGTTGGCTGATAAGGTCCAATAACACCGAGAATTATTAGGTTGTACAAAAACACATTCCAGTTCATGCTGAGGAAAAACTCTCTCTGGGATTTCATAAGACAAGAAAGCCAGTGAAAATGAACCAATAAAATTTCTGCAGTATTTCTACAGTGTACTACTCCAAAACTGCACTTGGAAAACCAAACAGCACTCTCTCTATGTGGTAGCTACACTTTGAGGCTGCAGTGTACAATAGAAACAGCAGCAGCACTTTTTGTTAATACGGAGTCAAAAACAAACACAGGGTTAGGGCAGCTTATTCAAGCTGTGTAAGACTTCAGGCCTGATTTAGCTGTCCAAGTTTGGAGATCTAAGACCAAATCCCTCCATCAGAACCAACTTAATGTGCATGCCAGACAGCAAAGCTCATTAATAGAGTTCTTCTCCAATCTCAGACATCCAGAAATCTCCAAATATGCTTGATTTAGTCAAATCTGCTATGCTGTTCTAGTACGTAAAGACAGGGTTTGAAAACAAGTAAAGTGCACCAGCAAACAGTGGAAGCTCAAATACTCAACAATAACACCAGGCTTTCTAAGTTATCTCAATGACAAGCAGTGCGGCAACTAAACCATTCTGTTCTCCAAATTCAGCAACCACTGTCTGACAGTATTTTTTAGCACACTCAGGTGAAAAACCTTTTGAAAAAATCTTTTTTTCCTTGCTTTGTTTTGGAAACCGCAGGGTGTCTGGATCCCTTACAACAAAATCCAAATTAAGTCTTTTCAAGTGTATTTCTGAGCTTGAATCAGTTTACAGTGTGCATGATAATGTTGGCGAGACAAGAAATAACAGGAAATAAAGTTTGTGCTCAGCATAGGTAAACTGATTTTTAAATAATGAACGGGGAAGCCCATGTAAGCATCCATAACAGTCTATTCTGAGATGCTACTACTGTAATTTGTAGGCCACTTTATTCTTGAGGGAGTATTACCGCAGTTTGTCTGAGATGCTCTTAGAGAAGGGCACACTTTCAAGGAGTAGAATGGGAGAAGAGAAGAGAAAAAACATTTTGGCTTAAGATCCTTTTCATAATTTCCTTGTTCTTGTTTCTTCCTGCCGCATTAATTTATGTCTCTAATGTGAGTTGTGGAAACTAATGTACATTGTATATTGAGGGACAAAAGGTAAACGCTGATATAGAGGCCATTGATCACAAAAAGAAGAATAGCTCTTCATCAAAGCAGCTTGTTGAATAGGATCTTAGTATTTTCCTTCAAAAAAGGAAAGAGTACCCATCCATTTTCCTGGGTGACATAGCTGCTAGTGAAGGTTATATAGTGTCAGGGAGGCATGAGCTAACCGTGAATCAATTAATGACATGATGCCAGGCCCCCAGATGAGCTCATCCTTTATAGCCCGGCATCCTTTGGCAATAAAACATTTGGGAGGGAACGAACAGTGGTGGGTAAATAGCATAAAAGCAAACATGGAGCACTTAACAAATACATGTCTCAAATACAGCTGCAGCTATCATAACACACAATGACTCAATTAGATACTGGGGCAATGGCTTGCAGCATTAACAATACAAAAGTGAATGTACAATTAATTTGCATAAGGATAAGATAAAGCAAAATCACTATGTCAGTGTACATGACCAAAATAATAGATTTGGATGATATACACAGCAAAAACTAGCAAAAATTCTGACGCAAACTAACTTTACTACTTCTCCATTAAATGTATTGCAAAACAGAGGTGTAGCTATGACTATAGCACTGAGAGCGTGGTTTCTGTAATGCAGGGAGGGCATCCAGACTCCAGATCTTAGTGTAATTTTGTCAGAAACACTGACAGGCTGGTTTTTGTTCCTCTTCTCATTATATGATCCACTTTAGAAACAAGGCTTTTTATGTCTGCCTTCAAGGATATCTGTCCTCTCTTGCAGCAGAACACGCCGAGGTGGTGGACACACAGGGAGGGAGCCAGCTCGACAGTTTGCACTGTGCTGACTGTAATTGGACACTGAAGTATGGGGAAAGGTATAAGCTTATCTTTTATGGTGTGCCACAGCAAATTAAGCCCTGAACTCTTGCATAAAGAAGACGCTATATTTTAATGTAAGTGCCTAAGTGGGTTAGCTAATACCATTGGGAGGCAGAGGGGTAAGATTAGGAACCTCACACCTTATCTGAACCAAACTGCCTTCTTCGTCCCAACCTGTCACTGAGATACAGCAGTGGAGACATGTGGTAATTGCTCTTCAGAGATACCGTTTAAACACAACTAGCTTTTTTCCATCCTCAGATTTGGCAAAGAGCTATACCTAGTGTTTTGGTGCCTAGAAAACACCTAATAATTAAGTAGAAGAAAATAATGACAAAACGAGTGAAAGAAAACGTAAATGTGGTTTCTTTTTCTAACAAAAACAAGATACATGGTAAATAAAATGTAAACAAAGTACAGGACTCCACATTTGATCAATGTGAAGACGAGAATAATAATGTAAAAACTGCTCCATCCCATCCCGCCAAAACAAGGATCTTTCAGGCAAGATGCCATTTAGGAAAAGCAAGGGGTTTTTCCTGAGGACATCAACTTGTAATTTGCTTGTTTTGGAGCACCCAGGTGGCGCCTGGGGGAGGCTAAGCAGCTGCCTAGTACACCAAACTTATTTCTAAAACAGCACCAAAAAACTGGTTATAGGACTGCTGAGTGTTGTCACATTAAGAGCAAAGCAACTGCCAATGATGATCCGAATGATGTACTTAACATTTAAGATTTAATGCTGATCAAATATATTGATTATTTCCGCTGGGGAAAACACCAGCATCAGGGATGATCAACACTTCACTGCATATGGTCCCATACGCAGCAGTACAAAACACCATCATCACATTTACAGAGCTTTAAAATGGGACCATAATGCTTTGAGACATCATGTGATGATTGTATGATCTTGTAATAAGTGCCTCGTGTTGCTTGACATGAGCAAACAGACTGATGATACAGAAGCGCAGCCTACACTCATAATACGCAGCTATTCAACTTGGACAACACCCAAATTCACTTGTCTGGGTTTACAGGAATTTCACTGGAATATTTGCACTTCCTAGTCATACAGAGGACGGGGGCCAAACTTGTTCCGATCAAATATCGTGCGATTTAAACAGGTTTGAAGCAAGAATGTACTTATTTTTCTTTTCAACACACCGTGACCGCAGCTTTCTGTTTATGGACAGCTCCAAAAACCGGGAGGCGCGGTTCACCTTCGTGGACATCATAAACCAACAAAAAAAAAAACAGTAAATCAGCTTGAATCATCCTAATTTTGTCAAAGCAAAGGCGGGAACACTTCATCACCAAGTTTGCTTCCGAAAGCCCAGTGGAAACATCTGTAAAAACATCCAATCTCACAATAACGACGCGAGGGTTTACAGGTTTAGTTTGATAGTACAACACCGGCACGCGCACTGACAGTTAATAAGCCAAACGAGCGCGCGCACACTTGTTCTGATTTTTAACCGCAAAGTGGCCGAAAGGTTGTTGACGCAGTAAAAAAACGCCAGTGGCTTTATCAATAACGCGAAAAACAAACACAACCCCGCTCGAGTGCCAAGAAACATCAATTAAACTTTGTAAAACACAAGTGCAGTTTGGAGTTAACGTTACTTACCGACGTGTTTCGGCGTTGCTTTCCACGTGCGAGTCCAGCTGCTGTCACAGTTCACCCACTCCGGGCAGTCTCTTCCTCGCTGTTAGCTGTCTTCTCAGACTAACCAGTAGCATTTCGGGTTTAACATCCCGTCGCAAAACCTCACTTCTACCGACCGTTGTTGGTTTCTAGGCGACGGGAGAAAGAGTTTGTTTTCCCCTCTGCTGCCGCGTCGGCGGAGAGACTGTGTCCGTCTGACTGCAGCTCAGTGTATGTGTGTGTATGTGTGTGTGTGTGTGTGGGGGGGACCAGTAGCAGGTTCCCAATCAGTCAGACACACGAACCCTCCCGCCAATCACGTACAGTGTCACAGGACCACGTAGCACCACGCAATTCCACATCTGCGTGTTGTGTTGGGAGTATACTGTCAACAGCTGGGAGTTTCTTTTGAAGAGCATACCCACGCTAAGTGTTATAAATGCTGGCGTTGGGTGGCTGTTTATGGGCTATAGTGAAGTCATAAAACCTTTTTATTTACCATACTTTTCCATCTTGTGACGCTTGCAAGCAGCAGCCTGGTTTGGGATTTAGGACTCAAAGTATAGGCTCCCTAAAAGCTAAAAGTCACATTATTTTCTTTATGAAAACTAGAGCGCATTTACAAGGACACTATACATGCATACAGTAAGCTACATTAAGTCCCAATAGGCACATGTTAAGAGTTTAAATATAGCCTACTGTTTGTTTTCTAACTGGTTATTTGACTTATATTAACAGTGATACTTTCAGCCCCTATGGGGATATTAACTATTAGTCTAAAATGGTGGCAACTTTGTGTGTCTGTGTGTGTGTGACTCACACCTTAATATCTCTGATTATAGTAGCCATCCCACACAATAACTCAGTGAATAAGTTCAGTAACTACAACATTCCCCAAGGTCACCATTAAAACAAAGTAGTTTAACTTCTTTGTCTAGACAATTCTACACTACCAAGACCGGACTCATACTAAAGACAAATTGAGTCCTTATGGAACTATTATAACTGGTGAAAAGTTAACAATAATGGTCTTTATTATCTTGTCTCTGTAAATCAACAACTAGGGAATTCCCAGGGTCACTTGGTGTAGAATGACTTGCTTGGACAGTCCACCGCTACCTGATTATGATGCCAGGTTACTGGCTTTATAACAGAGACTTCAAGGATACTTATGAGGATATGCTGTAATTTGGACTATAATTGTGGTTAAAGCCATATTTTATAGTGTTATTACCCTGTCTCTGTGACTCAGACCTTAAATATCTCAGATAGTAGGCGTCCCACAATATGATTTAATGAACAGTGACTAGGGCTTTCCCCAAGATTACTATAAAAAAAAAAAACGTGGCCTAACTTCTTTGAATTACTTGTTTAGACAGGCCCACACTACTTGAACATTTTCCAAATCCCTGCTGGATGTATGGGAGGTGTCAATTTTCAAGACTGCCCTAAACTGCCAGCAGCTTTTGACTACCATCTTTTGTTTCTACAGCCATGCCAACAGAAATTTGTTCCCTGGGAATTCACACACAGAGGCAGTGGGACTGTGAGTGTGTAAGTGTGTGTGTGTGTGTGTGTGTGTGTGTGTGTGTGTGTGTGTGTGTGTCTGTGTGTGTGATTGTGTCTGATGTTTTGCTTGGCTGGTTGTGAGTCATCCAAATTCCCTACAGAGCTCTAATTCCTCTCCTGGTTGATTTGGCTCCTTTCATAAGCCCTGTCTTCATTTTGAAGAGACTTGGACGGCGCTGGCTCATCTGAGATAGTTCAAGTTTTATGCGCTTCTGTTTCTCTGCCTCTGGGCCTTTTGCAGCTGATCATTAGCATGTTGCAGAGGGAATATGATGAGTATTTAAGCCATTGTTATTTGTCAGGCAATGCAGGTGACCAGTTGTACATATGTCTGCGGGTCAGCTGAAAAAGCATAATGACTGATAAACAATTTGTGGCTTACAAAACTGCTGTTCTGAAATTAAACATGAATGTTTCTAATTTCAGTGAAAACATTTCAGCAGGAGTTTGTCTTTTACAGGCTGTCTAGCTTTTCTGTGCTAATCTCCTGCAACACCTAAGTCCTTGTAAGGTGTCAGTGCCATTGTAAGCACATAAGACCAGCTGTATTAATAGCAGATGTCATTATGTTCTCACTTACGAATACAACTTATTTACTCCAAGCTCAAAAACAAATTACTAAATGCAGCTGAAAAAAAAAAATGGTACAAAATCATACTTGGCTGTTGGCACACTAAAAATCAAATATGGATGTTCCTTATTCATCCAGCCCTTGAAGGTTCCTTGGGATCATATTACAGTTTGTCTGGCTTTGTGATTCCACACTACAGCAAGCTGCTCAACCATGTGGTGGAGCATGTGGAAATAGTTCATTTTAGGATTGAAAAATGTTAAGTCTTCTGTGACGTTTTTTTTTTTTTTTTTTTTACCTTCAGACAATCCTCTTTGATTTACACAGGCTCCTCTGTTGAGTGTAAATGTGGATCTGGATGGGGAGTGTTTTTCTGCTATGTCTGCGAAGCCATTGGGACAGCAACAAGAAGGTCATGGACATTATGACACTGTAGAAATACAGAATTGTACCTCTGTGCTCCCCATACACGAGCAAACACTTTCACTTTTTCCAGGTTGAGGGAAAAAAGACACAGCGGTCAGAGGGGGAGGTGGGGGGTGGAAATTATGCATTCACACACATATGCAACCATGCAGACGCTCACAAGCAGAGAGGGTTAAAAGGGCATTAGCAGTTTCCTGCTGGTGAGTTTGGGAATTCAGGCAGCTGAGACTCTCTAGGGAAACGCTGGCCTGTGATTTGTTCTGATGAAAGGCAAAACACTGAGCCATGTCAAGGTTTGGTGTACGGCACTACCAGTCTCACTAACAGCCTGAAGAATGATTGCCCAACAAATATGTCGAAAGCTCGACTGCTCATTGCTCAATTCAGCGCTGAGGTTAGCTTTTGGATGCATGACACACCGCAGAGACTGAAACATCCTTCAGGTTTTGCTCACGTGGCTCGAAGTTTCCACGATGTCTTACAGGACTGGAATCTGTGGGGAGGAAATTGTGGTGGAAAAGTAATCAAGAGCAGCTATTCTAGTGAATTTGCATGAATATTTAGTATGGACCTTTACAAAGCAATGCTAATTGCTGTCTTAATTTTCTTTCACCGCCATATCAAATTCGCATTATGGTTCAATGTTTAGTGCAATTTTGGAATTAACAAGGAGTCATTTATTTAGTTTTCCATGAGTTACTTTGTGGAGCAGCTATGCTTAACTGACCTGAGTGCAATTCATCCAGTTTATGTTCCTAATACTCCCCATAGATTTTTCATTAAGTAAGCTTTAAAGAACAGTTTTCTTGCTGTTTAATGACACTGTGCTCTGTACCTGCTTGTTGCGTTGCTTCGGTGCTTTTTAAATCTAAGTTGCAGTTTTTTAAGGCTCCACTGCATTAAGAGGGAACATTTAAATGGCTGGTGGATTATTTATACACAGTTTTAAACCAAATATTTTTACACTTATAGTCGGTGAAATATTTATTTCAAAGACGCCTCTTTATGTGGCTGCCCCTTTTCAAGAAATGGAAAATTATACATGCCTCCTGCATCATTTTATACACGTTTCCTTGTAAATCTGTATGACGTATTTGGCAGGTGTTAATTGATGTTGTATTCCCTCTGCTAGAGTACAATCAGTACTTTCTCCATCATAAAGCACTCCAACAGGAGGCAGAAGCAACTGTCAGAGCTCTACCTGGCATTCCTCCCATGGCTGTTCCCCCCTCTCTCTGCACATCCCTCTTCCCAAAAAATCCTGGAAAACATAAACATCCTTCCAGGCTGTGACGTGGGACGAGGAGCTGTGCAGGCTGGCTGGATTTGGGGGAGCGAGGTGCCTCAGTCCCCATGGTGAGTAGGGTAAACATGGAGATCTGACGATAGAGGAATGGAACGGTGCGAGGGACCCTTTGCTCCAACCAACGGCTGCCTCTCATCTCCCCACACGGCCAGATGGCTGCTATACACTCTCACACACTCCCCCAATACACTCTCTATTAGTCTCCATTTTCTTCTTTCTCTGTGTGTCTGCTGCACTAATCAAACACTGAATTCATGTGGTTTGTTGTTTACTCTTCTCAGTGTGAGGCATGAAACACACACATCAGACACTGCTTACAGAGCTGCATGAGAGCTCACTAGAGAGAAAAACATGTCTTACTGTGGTCGAGCTGACACGCATACATAACTTAAAAAAGCTTGTGTGTGTGTGTGTGTGTGTGTGTGTGTGTGTGTGCACAGTGTGTGAGTTGTTTCATGCTTTCATTTAAGATTTTATGTTTTTGTTCCAAGCTGAGAATATCAAACGGAGCATGTTTGATTTTCTTGTTTTGCCGTTCTCAATAACTTTGTGGAACTCACTACATTCAGGGAGGTGGACTGGGTGTGTATGAGGAGGAGGCGGCTGAAACCTTTTGTTTAGGTTTTGCTTGTCAAGTGAGGAAATAAATGTGTGTGTTCTCTGTGCTGCACATATCACATTATTGAGCCAGGTCAAGTGTAACAATGCACTCTGATAATTTATAAATAGTGTGAAATAAGAAAGTATTTAGACCTCAGATCTGGTATTGATTTTACCTGCTAGTGCCTGATAGAATATCTCTCACATGTGGCCCCTAACTAATCACATTAGATACACAAGAACCCAACTTACATTCTGACACTCGTCTTTCTACTGTTTTAAGACATTTTCTTGTCTTTCTGCTTACAAAGAGAACTCTGTGTTGAGCGGAACCACCTTTTATGGCTATTACAGCTATTTCTAAGTCATATCAGTATTCCTTTTTGCAGTGAGTCATTAAAGGACAATGGTTTTCAAAAGATTCCTCTTGAAGATCTGTCAGATTATAGGAATTATCCGTATGACCTTTCAGGCACTGCAGGAACAGAAAGATCTGCCACTTCTTTAAAATTATTTCAAGAACTATTCATAACTGCTCACGCTGACATCATGTTTGATTTTTTTTTTTTTGCTGCTTTTTTTAAGGGTGAATTTTGAGGACCAGTCATTGGAATATTCCTTTGCCAAAGACAGCCACTTTAATTAAATTTGAAGCCCATGTCAACCATGCATCATCTGAATGCCCAGCCAGCCACAAGTAATGACTTTCATACCCGGATCAATCTTTAGCTGCTTTGTCGCTTTATAAAACATGAGAAAGAAATTTGCTTTGAATCCCCGTTCTGAGTTCTGCCTTACTAATAAAAGCTGCTTGTTCAATCAATGACACATTTAGTTTTAATATAAAAAAAATCAATACCTAATTACA